CTGCAGTTTTGTGAACCTTTTAGACCCTAACTACTTTTCATGCTGTTATTTTAAAACACACACAAATGTCTTCACTGCAGTTTTTCGTCTTGCCCCAAGTTTTATGCAAAAATCCAAATTTAAGCCAACATCAGTCTTCTAAATAATAGAGAATGTATGTGTTTAAAAGCATGAGCTGAGTTAAAAATCTTTTAAACCTTGGTTTTTGAAAGCAAACCCTAGATATTTTTCATTTAAATAATTATTTGGCTGTAATGAATAATCATATGCAAAATGGAGACTTCAAAACATCCTTTACCCTAAAAGGTAATTAAAAGAGCAAAGCTCTTTCCACAGGTAAAGACTAGACTAACTTTCAGAGCATACTGCTGCTTTCAAGGGCTCATTTAACAAAAGATTGCACATGCACATTAACGGAAGAGAGATGATGTTTATAAGCCATGTAATAAGCCAGAATGTGTCACACTTTTTGTGATAGCTCCATCTTGCTCTTACCTCTCCGCAGAGGCAGCTTTAAACTGCTTAAGACCTACTCTTCCTCTCCTGCCAAAATGCCCATGGCAAAAGGTACAGATGGCCCAGGAAAGTCTGCCAGGTTGACCTTGCAGAAGGCTTGTTCTTGCAAAGTGCTGAGTGCCCTCAATTCCCTGTGAAGTCAGTGGGAGGTAGGCTGCTCAGCACCTTGCAGGCTAAGAGTTTCCTGGCATTCTTCCCTTGAGGGAGGTGTTTGAGGACAGGGAGTGGAGCCTCTGACCCCACAGATCTCCATGGTCCCTGAGGAAGGAAATCCACAGTTCCTCAGAGGTCCTGGTCCTCCCTCTCCCCTGACAGCATAGCTTTCAGGTTCCCTGGCCTGCATAAAACCCCCTGGCAGAGACAGGTGCAGACCTGGGGCCACTACTAGCAGCATCAGCATAGGTTCAGATATCCACAGCCTGGGAAGGGGAGAACGTGATGAGGACAAGCTCTTGCCACTACCATCCCTCCAAATCCTGCAGAGTACTTGTAGAGGGAGTTCCATGGGGTTCCAGGGCTAGGAGGAGATGCTGCTGTAAAGGCAGCCCTCTACACCCACACACCTTCCAGTGAAATCTGAGGGGAAGAGGGCCTTGGCAAATAAGTAACTCAGAGATGAAAATGTACATCAGACTTTAAAACAACCAGTAAATATCTTCCTCCAAATAACAGGAACAAAAAGCATCTTGAATTCATTCAGACTGACAAAGATCAAACAGTACAAGTTAAAACAGGTAGGTGAGCAATTATTCAGTACACTTTAGCTTCAAAAATACAAACATATACACTCCATTCCCAATTGCTTAATGCTGCCGCCTAGCTCTCTGTAAACACACCAGGAGAAAAAAAAAGTTCACATCACTCATAATTTATAGAACTTTAACAATGAAAGTAGGACAATCCTCCATTTCCCCAATGATGAGGGCTCTGGGATTGCTCGCATGAGAAACAAGACACCGTGTGGAACCGGAGGCTGAATTTTCCGTCAGTTCAGAGAAATCTTCTCCAGTGTAACTCACAGCAGAATGACAGGCCAAGAGAGGCTTTCCACAGAGTAACTTTTCATTCTCTCATTTCCCTCCCCTCTTAGTGTTAGAGAGGAGAGTGTCAGTATAAACCCAAGAAGAAGCCGCCAATATCTATTGATCAGTAAGTTGTCCTGTACTTGAGTGTCATTGACTAGTTTTCCATGGGTATATTTTTAAATTAACAACAAGCAGACTTCTTGTGAGATGGCTTTTCCTCTGGTCTGACTGCAGCCCAAAATAACCCAATCATCTCTATTCTGCATCACTCAGATGTTGCCCTAAATGACTGAGGAGTCTATTGTGTTTAAAAGAGTCCAGTTCTTGTTAGTGTTTTCACATCTTCCCCACATTATGACCAGAAATGCACGCATACCAGTGGCTTTCGGAAAGTCAGTATCACTAATAAAACTTAGCCATGGGATTACTGATCTCTTGAGGAAGAGCAGTTGTGCCAGGCCTGGCATTTATGCCTCATCCCTATGAAGTTATTCATATATTCTCCGGTCAGAATGCTTCCGTTTACAAGGAATAGTCAGTGATGTTCATTAGTTGCCAATTTACTATAGTTGCTTTCCACCCAAGTACCTTGGCGCAATCTTAGATTGCAACTGCTTTTTTCAAACACCTACTGGGTGTGGCTGCAAGCACTACAGGCTTGGATCCTGTGCAGAGCGGAGCAGCCTCCACTTCCATTACGGTAAATGGAGTCGAGGGTGCTCAGCACCTGGCAGGATTTGGTCCTTACGTGTTACTACACCTGGCTCAGCCTTCTTGTGTATAGCACTGCCGCTGCATCAGCATCCCTCCTGCCCTCCCTCCCCCGGCCGTTGTTCAACAGCTGCATAGTGAGCCCCCCAGTTCCATGTTCTGGTCCTTGTACATCTTGGAGCGGATTCTGCTCCTGCTGAAATCACCAGTAAAAACCCCCCATCATGCCTCAGAGTCAAGGGCACTAACATAGGAATATTTCTCTCAATACTAGTGCAGTGACTACCAGTCCTTAATAATATTCCTCACTCACTCATCTGGAGGCTGTAAGTCTTTGGGGATATTGGGGCTTCAGAGCTAAACTACCCCACTTGTTCAAAGCTTGCTGAACAGCCCTAACCAACCATCCTTTCTGGCCTTCGTTAGAGGACTTGCTTG